GAATTTGCTCAATAGCATCTTCTGGAAGTGTTCTTTGAGTTATCTGATCTGGTTTGGCAGAACCAATCATTGAATTTGGAAGATGAATTTTCTCAATAGCATCTTCTGGAAGTGTTCTTTGAGTTATCTGATCTGGTTTGGCAGAACCAATCATTGAATTTGGAAGATGAATTTGCTCAATAGCATCTTCTGGAAGTGTTCTTTGAGTTATCTGATCTGGTTTGGCAGAACCAATCATTGAATTTGGAAGATGAATTTGCTCAATAGCATCTTCTGGAAGTGTTCTTTGAGTTATCTGATCTGGTTTGGCAGAACCAATCATTGAATTTGGAAGATGAATTTGCTCAATAGCATCTTCTGGAAGTGTTCTTTGAGTTATCTGATCTGGTTTGGCAGAACCAATCATTGAATTTGGAAGATGAATTTGCTAATAGCATCTTCTGGAAGTGTTCTTTGAGTTATCTGATTTGATTCAGTAGGAACCTCAGAACCGATCGTTGGAATTGAAAGATGAACTGCATGATCATCTTCATTAAGAAGCTTATTTTCAAGTTTCTTCTGCTTCTTCCTTTCCAAAAATCATAGCCCAAGTTTTGCCTTTGCTTGTAATTGGGATCATTATATAATGACTTCCTATCTTTTACTAGAAGAAGTACATCAGCAGCCTTAGTCATACTATTGAGTTTATTCTCCTCATCAGAATTAGAATTCAAGATTTCTCGGTATTAAAAGAACTATCGATATCTGTGAAATCATCTTGAAAGGTCACTTCATAATCAGATGAGTTGTTATCAGAATCAACATGTTGCCTGAATGCAAGCTTTTCAAGAGTTTATACTATTAAGTTTTATTCTCAAGAGGTTCTGTGACATTATATCTACATCCACATTTGTCAAAGATGATAGATTCTTTGATTTGAAGAAGACAGATATATTGGGTTTTTTACAATTGAAGAAATACTCAATTCACCAGTCTGAAATCAAACAACTTAATATTCATGCATCATATTTAGGCATTTGCAAAAATAGATGCATTTTCATTCATTTTTATTCTTGTTGAATTTCTAACAGGAATTTCAAAGATTTTAGCAAAGATTCAAATCTATCATTTGATGGATCATTTTTTCCAGAAAAAGTTCATAATGAGAAGAACTCATCTGAAGAAGGAAGAAGAAGTTCATAATGAGAAGAATTTGTTCAACCTTTTACCTGAATTCATCAATTGATGGATTATCTTTTCCAGGAAAAGTTCATAATGAGAAGAACTCATCTGAAGAAGGAAGAAGAAGTTCATAATGAGAAGAATTTGTTCAACCTTTTACCTGAATTCATCACTTGATGGATCATTTTTTCCAGAAAAAGTTCATAATGAGAAGAACTCATCTGAAGAAGGAAGAAGAAGTTCATAATGAGAAGAATTTGTTCAACCTTTTACCTGAATTCATCACTTGATGGATCATTTTTTCCAGAAAAAGTTCATAATGAGAAGAACTCATCTGAAGAAGGAAGAAGAAGTTCATAATGAGAAGAATTTGTTCAACCTTTTACCTGAATTCATCATTTGATGGATCATCTTTTCCAGAGAAAGTTCATAATGAGAAGAACTCATCTGAAGAAGGAAGAAGAAGTTCATAATGAGAAGAATTTGTTCAACCTTTTACCTGAATTCATCATTTGATGGATCAACATTGCCAGGTAGAGTTCATAATGAGAAGAATTCGTCATCTGAAGAAGGAAGAAGAAGTTCATAATGAGAAGAATTTGTTCAACCTTTTACCTGAATTCATCAATTGATGGATTATCTTTTCCAGAGAAGTTCATAATGAGAAGAACTCATCTGAAGAAGAAAGAAGAAGTTCATAATAAGAAGAATTTATTCAACCTTTTGAACGACTCTATCACAGAAGGAGATAGATTAGCATCAGCCTTTCTAGAGAAAGTTCATAATGAGAAGAACTCATCAAGAGCTTATTCAACCTTTTGAATGACTCTATCACAGAAAGGAGGTCATCATCATCCCCAGCAGAAAGTTCATAATAAGAAGAACTTATTTGGAGAGAGAGAAGAATTTATTCAATATCTCCATTATGATCAAAGTAAAGTCAAATGGATAAAAAATTTTATTATCTTTTCATCTTTGCCCTATTCTTGTTAACACAAGAATGAGCAAAGAGGGGCAGCTGAAGATACTAATTTTTTATCCATATTATTATTATTAATATTATTATTATTATTATTATTATTATTATTATTATTATTATTACTATTATTATTATTATTATTATTATTATTATTATCATTATTACTATTATTATTAAATATATTAAATACATATATAAATTACAGACCAATTACAACTGGACCGGCCCAGTTACAAACCAACTAGAACCGGTCCAAATCCAACCAGAAACCCTAAATATTTGGGTTTCCAGTTAGGGTTTCCTAACCCTAATCTAAACCAGCCGCCTCATCACAACCGTTGGATCTGGCACGATCCAACGGTCCAGATGGTTCTAGAGAGAAACCCTAGGGTTTGATACCCTAGGGCCACGCGGCGCCGCCCCAGCTTCCACGCGGCTGCCGACAGTTTTCTCGCCGCCTCCACCGCTGCCACGTCCCGAATGAAGACTCCAGAAGATCAACGCCAGCCGTCCATGCAAGGCTACGGGGTGAGTCACCACTGGTAGTCCGGTGACTCACCGAGGCCCCCTCTTCGGACCGGTCTGAGACGAACACCGGTGGTGGCTATAAAAGCCACCACCCCATCTGCGAAGAAAAAAAAGAAGGGAGACAGAAACCAGAGACAGAAACAGAAAACGAAAAAAAAAACACAGAGAAAGGAAAAAAAAAACAACAACAACTAAACCAACGATCTCAGTCAGCATCAACACAGCAAGGAAAAAAGAGAGAAGAGAGGCAAAAGCTTACCCTGTCATCGGAGAGCCCCAACCGTCACCGGATCTCACCAAAACTTCGAAAAGCCGAAGGTATTATTGTAGATTTGCTCCGATTGGGAGCCGTTTAACGGAAAAAAACATCGGAACCGTCATTAGGACGGTCCGATCTGCATTTAGGATAAAAAATATTTTTTCCGGCCACCGAAGACGGTGGCCGGCGGCGGTGGTCGGCGGCATAACTCGCGGCAGCAGACGGCTGCCGGATTCCCTCCGGTGAGGGAATCTAGAGAGAGGCCAGAGAGAATTCTGGCTCTCTCTCTCTCTCTCTGTTTAAGAAAGAAAAAAAAAAGAGAAGAAATGAAATGGCTGGTCCCGAACGACGTCGTTTCGGGAAGGACTATGCGCGTAATTTTGAAATATTTAAACCCCGTCCGCAGTCCCTCGTATTTGTAAATTTTACATTTTGGTCACTAAACTGAATTTATAATAATTTTAATTCAGTCTTTGAATTTTAATTTTATTCATTTTAGTCTTTTTTATTAAAATAATATATTTAGGATAAATGACAGATTTAATCCCTTAATTTTAATAAATAAATTTTTTATCCCTAGTTCATATTTTTAATTAATTTTATTATAAAATTTGAATTTTAGATAATTTCATTTTGGTCACTAAATTATTAAATTAGAAAATAAAATATTTAATCCCTATAATTTCAATTAATTAGTAATTAGATTTAGTTTTATTTTTATTATAATTTAGTTATTTATATGTTTTCATTTTACTGCCTAAAATATATTGTTTTAGTGATATTTTTATTTTATTATATTGTTAAAATTTTTTATATATTCATAAATATACATATAATAAATAGTAATTTTTTAAATATTTATTTTTAATATCGAAGAAAAGGACAGTCTTAAAACAACTGGATGTCCTATTCTGATATTTTAAAATTAAAAAGTAAACAATATTATTTAAATTAATATTTATCAATATCAAAGAAAAGAGCTGTCTTAAGGCACCTAGAAGTTCTTTTCGGATATTTTTAAATAAATATAATTTTGAAAATAATAGGATTATAAATTAAATATATTTTTAAATTTTTAAATTTTAATAATAGAGACAATTTATAATTAAAAAGTACCAATTTTGGGCGTTGTAGGGGTGCTAATCCTTCCCTAAACGTAACCGACCACGAATCCCTTTTTATTATTAAAAAGAACGAATTTTTGGTTATAAACGCAGATCAGTTTAATTTTTTTTAATTGATGTTTTCTTAAAACTCTTTTAAAAGATATTTTTTTAGGTATTCGACCTACCTGACCCAAAAGGCCGATGGCGACTCCCAAATTATTTTCAAAACCATTTATTCACATCACTTTTCCCGCCAAATTTAATATTTCGTGCCCGGACGAAAACCAGTTACGACAGAAATAATAAAATAGACAAACTTTATACCTAATAAATATCATTACTCCATTACCTGGTTAGATAGTATAGATTTTTAAAACTTCATAAATATCATTCATATATATATATATATCTTACACATTTTTCATTTATATATTTACTATATTGTTGATATAATTGAAAACTGATATATAAGAAGCTTTTAAAATAAATAATAATTAATTAAGTTCCTAAACAATGCTACCAATTTAACATTAACCAATTAATGAATATATATATAAATACTTATTTTATCTTGTAAAAAATCCTTTTACAAGCTCCATATATTCTCTCCTTTCCCAAGCTTTTACACTCTCTTTCCCTGCTTCTTTGTGGCTTCAGCAGTGGCGGGTTAAGTCGATTGTTGCAGTTTCAGGATTAGGATTTAGAAGGACTTTGATTCTTCATTGAAGTTTTCAACTTTCCAGGCGCAAAAAGCTGACTGGTTTTTGGCAAATAAACCTTCAGATCATAGCTACCCAAAGAGAAAAATAGAACAATCTGACGTTGGAACTTGGACTCTGGGATGTTGATGAATGTTTTTTTGTTGAAAGAAGAAATGAAAAACTTAACCATAAAGCCTTTAACTTTGGCGTTTCCTTGAGAAAACAAGTTTTTTTAGTCGAAATTCTAGCGTGTTCCTGAGTTGGCAATGCAGACTATATGTTCTTGGTGAGTTGCTTAACTCCTATACTCGTTTCCCTCTAGTTTCTTTCGATTTAAACCACATTTCTCTCATTGTTTGTTAGTGTTAATTTAATATGTATGTTCCCATTAACTTGTTTTTTTTAATTTTTGGTTTGCTACTTTGGTTTCCATGAAACTGGGTTCCTTATGATGGTTGCTTTAAAATTATTTGTTTAACCATGGTTTTGTTGAGTAAAATAATCACTGGTTGGTGTCATTATGTTATTCTTCGGAATTTAATATGTATGGTTTTGTTTTTTTAATTAGCATGTATTCTTTTACTGAAGCTTTATTATAGTGCTTGGAATGAATAATCAAATGGTCCTCTACTGGTTTTAGTCTTACGGCATATTGCTGATGTATAAACATATTCTTATTCCATACATTATTTATTTATTCTCCCAAGCCAACAATTTGATGATAATGTTTGTTAATATGCTGATATGTTTGCATTAATGAATGGATGCTTATAAAATTATGTCTCTGATACATGAATGTATGCTTATCCACTGTCCATGGAACTGGATGTCTTTTCGGATTTTCTTATTTTATGTCTCATGTGGTTTATATAAAATTTGATTCTTTTTAAGTGTGTAGTGAGAGTGATTAAAGCTCGTTTGTATGATTAAATTGGATGAATTCTACCATGTATGCTTCTCTGACCCGAATAAATCGACGGTCAACATCTATATATAGTCGGATGCCTTTCTCTGATGTCTAAACGCGGAAGGGAAAGGGACGATCACCATTTTCAACAAGGCCTCAAGCTTTTCTATGCTATTGTTTACAGGAATTTTTTTTTTGCCCTGAATTTCTTCTGATATAAAAATAAGAAGTTGTGTTCTTGGGTATCTTTGAGTATGCTTTTCATGCAAGTCGAGTGTGATTGTCTTATCTTTTCAACTTGTGAAGAAGGGATGGAGGTTGGAAAGATGATAGAAAACAAAAGGAGTCCTTGCTCTGTCGACCATAGCAGTCTCGCTTCTTTGGCATCGAAACGGCAGAAGGCGGATTTGTCTATCTCCACAAAGGTTTTTTAGCTGTCTTTACTCTACATTAAATCTCTTCTCGATGATGCAAGTTATATCTAGATTCATTTTCTTCACTACGTAGTGAACCAAGTGCTATCTGCTCTTGATGTTGTTTGTTGCTAATATTAGTATTAATCATTGTTTACTCTTTCTATCAATAGGATAGAAAAGTGAAGCTCAGTGAACGCATTGTCGCTCTGCAGCAGCTTGTTTCACCGTACGGAAAGGTAAATTTATCGACTAATTACATACATCGGAGTAGCATTTGTTCATGTTTTTAATGACAGAAGTTGCCTATCCTGGTTTAACTGTGAAGCCGTCTTGGTTCGTTGCAGACAGATACTTCTTCTGTCTTACTGGAGGCAATGGAATACATACAATTTTTTCACGAACAAGTTAAGGTTGGTTTTTGTTTCCCATTCTACTTTTTGGGTATGTTGACAAACATTTATGTATGAACGGAGTTTTTTTGTGGTGTTTACAGGTGTTGAGTGCTTCATACCTCCAAACAACACCAAGTAATACGCAGGTGAGCATCAAATGGGCATGAAGTAGTAAGATTTTATGGTAACATGTAGCATGAAACACTATAGAGATGTGACATTTTAATGGGATTTGTTTTTATGTTCCAGAATGTAGAGCATTATAGCCTGAGAAACCGAGGTTTATGTCTTGTTCCGATCTCTTGTACCGTAGGAGTTGCTCAGAGCAACGGTGCCGACATTTGGGCTCCCATCAAGACCACATCTCCTAAATTCGACTAAAGCCGTCTCACAATTCAATTGACGTTTCATTTCACTGCAATTGGAAGGCTTTGGGATACACTAAATGAGTTCAGTAGGTAACCAACTTATTATCCAATGCACAAAATTTTCCTGGTTGTAACAAAAACTTATATAGGTAATGAACTAAGATATAGGATGGTGGTAGGCAGAATCATTTGTCTTAGATTAGTTTTATGCCGGTGCCGCGACCGATCTTCATTCGATCTATTCGATTATGCAAACTTCTTAACATGAATTAACCGATGTGTCCTTTTGAAGCAACCTAAGGCACTCAAAATAGGGGCTAAACGTACAGGTCATGATGGGAAATGGGAAATACATATTCACATTATCAGATAAGTTAATAGTATTTGAAAATTCAACAGTGGCATTAATGGTGATCAGTTGGCCTATGTAGTTGAAAGGTCATTTTGTAATGGCGCTTTGTTTTATCATCATTGATCTGAATTGTGGACCACCATCGGCAGTCGTTGCTTCAGAAATAAGGAATCCTTTCACATTGACAGTTTTGATCACTGACCCCTGCGTTGACACCGGTAGCATGTTCATGCTGTTGTGATGTTTCTTCACATGAAACTGCACAAAAGTCTTCAAAGGATTCATAGTCCAACTAATTAAATTTTCTTGATATGATGTCAACATTAACTCCCAACATTTACCAAAATGATCATTTTAGCCCTTTTTTTTTTGAAACATTTTAACCCCATCATTTTAGCAAACATTTATATGAATAGTCACTTTGACTTTTGTTCTTTTTTTTCCTGAACATTTTAGCCTCTAACATTTCATTTTGAGATAAAAAATACCTAATTTTGAGATGTTTATTGTTTGTTAACTAACGGTTTTCATCCACAGAGGGACCTTTTTGCCCCCAAAATGAAACATTAGGAGGCAAAATGCTCCAAAAAAAGAATAGAGGCAAAAATGATCATTTTGGTAAACGTTGAGGGGTTAATTTTGACATTATGTCAATTTTCTTTTGAAAATTTTCAGTACATTTAAGGAAGATTGAAACCGTGAGAAAGGCCATCTTTTTAAATAAAATAACAATAAGTAATAATAATAATCACAATCCAATTTAGAATTCTCACAAGGGGCATGAAAATGATACATACAGGAGCCCTGCTTTTTATAAGGGCACACCTAGTTCATGTCACTTTGCCTTATAGTAGTGTCTGATAGACTGTATACTCCATTATTATGTCATGATCAAGCATATATATATGAAAACGATAAAAGCTAACACAATTAAATCACTCAACCTTGCTGCATTAGGTTCTATTTTCTCTTGCAATAACCGGAATCTGAACCAAAGTGTCTACGAGCTTGCAGAATTGAGTAGAACTTTCTTCTGCAGGAATTGCAGTATGTGCTCACGTTTCCAATTGTCAATTCTGCAAAAGAATCACAAGAGTTAGGGTTGTTTTCACCAGAATGCAAGCAAGGATAATGCAAACTACAAATGGGGAGACTGTTGTTTTCTAACTCTAAAAAAAGGCCTCTTTTTTTGCATGCATGCATGTATCTGGAGAATTAACAAGATAAAGCTTACTCGTCTAAACAAAACTAGAACTTACAGCATAAACGAAGATCACTTTATTCATATTGCATCTTTCAGTATAGCTTTAGAGAGAGTATAGATTATAGAGGGAGAAAACAAAAGTTACAGTCCGAGTAAATTCCTCTTTATTCAGTGAATATAGCATTTCAATTCAATATGAGCTAAGTGCATCAATGAGAGGAACCTAACCTTATAGTTTCCTTATGTTGGCCCTCATCACCCAACATGATCAACTTGGGAGGAGAATTGAAAAGATATTGAGTTTTAACTGTCGGAAACTTGTCCTTCTCTTCTTCAATGAAACCAACGATTTCCGGATAGAATACTAGTTTCCTCATGCACACTTCCAGTATTGCACCTGAATACGTAATCTGCAATTGCACAAATATAGATGCGAACTTTAGAAATTAGGATAAAGAAAAAACACATTATGTGATACCAAATTTAAGAAACATGATTGAGAACAAGGGAACAAAAAATATCTATAATATAGCAGCTTTTTTTCAGCAGTCCCATTGTATTGTTCGCATTCCACCTTTCCCGAAGAAAAAGGAGAAAACCAAAATCAAAGTGAGCAGACTAAAGGGACACAGAAGTGCAAGTCACAATTAAGGGGATTCCCATACTTGAAGATGACTATAGTCGGGGAATTAGTCGTTATATGATGTAAGAGTACAGTTGTTGGTAAAAGGCATTTTTGAAAGAAGATAAGACATGTTCCATATTTTTACATGCAAAGTCTAAGAAGCTAAAACCCTAATACAAAATAAAAAGTGTCATTTTGTCAGAGGTACCCGCATTAGTATCATATATGCTAGGGGTTCAATAGCTATGTAAGAAGCCATGAACACTTTTGCTAAACAAACATCCTCCCTTTCACAACTCTCAATCTAATCTAAGAATTAAATGACTTCCAGTAGGTGCAATATAGAACTGAAAAGATTATTTGGAAGAAGAAAAATAGTGGATGAAGAGTAAGAGAGATTTAGTGAACAAACATTGGTGGTTGGAAATCTAGTAAAGCATAAAATATTGAACCCTCCTCCAATCCCCAAAAAAACAAAGTCCTCTCCAAAGCATATTTCATACCTTACTTGTAGAATCATCCGAGTCTTCCGTGCAACATTTTTTGCAGTCAGATATTAAGTCTGTCATCAAAACATATAGTTACAGCCAGACTGATGCATGTAATGCATATGTCAATTGTTTGGTCTTCAGTGTTGAGTTTAACATGTAGCATAAACACAACAGAACAGTTGTGTTCTTTAAAATCTCCAGTGTCACTCCTTTTTTTCTTCTGTTAGAAAATTAATTACACATAGCACACAATGACATTGCCACATCACACCAAGTCTTCCCACCTTAAACTATTTTGCTATGGTTCAGCATACTCGACACTAACATCATAAAGAAGTAGAATTACGAGGAAGCTTCATTTTGTACTGAAGGTAACCGATAGTTCTAGATCTAATCAGTGCAGTCAAAATGTTCCTAACTGCATGGGAGGACGACAGCCAAACTGGTGCTGCAGTTAAAATCCAAATAGGTTGCGCAAAGGAGGTAGAGCAATTCAATTTGAATAGAGCCTAAAGAATTTGATCACACAAAAGGAGGCAGGGCAATTTGAACAACTATAAAACTGTAATACCTCAAATTAACTACAATTTTCCTAAAAGAAACAAAAATAGTAAAGCCATACTTCCCCAAATCGACATAGCGGATTTGGAACTCAAATGATCATCGCTTCAGAGAACTTAAAGTTTCCAATATAATGGAGCCGAAACTTAGAAATTTAAGAAAGAAACTGATCTTAAACAGGCAATTCTATTTCATTTAAGCAATCAAACTGTCGCTTCCGCCTAAAAAGATGAGTATATTAAGAATTGAAGCTTGACCTTATTACATGGAACAGCACTGCAGTCAACTTGCAAAAGTGTCAAAATTGATGCATCATTGCCCTCCATTTAAGATTAGTCAAAGCCTCAGAGACCATAAAATCAAAACCCAAAAACAAAAATAAAAACTAGACCATAAACAGATAACACAAAGCCAATCCAAAGAATTAATCAAACACTCAAAGCCTTAAATTTCCAAAATTTAATCAAACAACCCGCTGTAACAGCATAACAACTGAAACCCAATACGATAAAAAAGCAGAATTTTTTTTGAAGAGGGTATTGATTCAGTACCTTTGTCCTTGACGTACTCAACAAAAGTGTTGCAATCAGAACAAATGGCCAAACCCGTGAAACCCAGATCCTCACATTGCTTTGGGCTTAGTTGTTCTTTGGATGAAACGAAGGAGGAAAATGAAATTAAAACAAATATCAACACCCAACAATGTAATGTGTTCCTCCACATCTCTATCTCACTGTTTTCCTTCAACAAGTCTTCCTCTTCAAACTTCAAAGTTTAAAGTCTTCCTCTTAATTGAAGAAGAATGCAGATCCGGAAACCGAGTTTAGCCTAATCAAAACGGCGTCATCTTGTCAGTTTAACAATGTAAAGTAATTTAGTAAAATTATTATTAAATATTATAAAATAATAAAATAAATGGGATAAACTATATATTTAGTACTTAATCTATCAATTCTATTTCGTTTTGGTATCTAAACTTTTATTTGTTTTAAAATTTTATCTAATATTTACTTTTTGTTTCGTTTTGATACTTCGCTATTAGAAACTCAGTATAATTGTTATAACATGACACTTTTTATGGGTAAATTACATCATTATCACTCCATTATCTTCTCACTCCTATTTTAGTCACTAAAGTTTAATTTTTTAATTTAATTACTTAACTTTCAAATTAATCTTAATTTAATCATTCTAACTTTCAAATTTATTTATTTTTATTTTTATTATATATTAATAAAATAATAATAAAAATTTAATGTCACAAAAATTATTAATGAAATAAATTAAAGTGATTAAAACATAAGCAATTTGAAAGTTGAGTAGTTAAATTTAAAATTTTTAAACTTTACTAACCAAAATAGGAGTGAAAAGATAGTTAAGTGATGAATGATGTAATTTAGCCATAAAAATGTCACGTGTAATAGTTCTGTTAAGTTTTGAACGATGTGTACTAAAATGAAACAAAAAGTAAGCGTAAGTATGATTTTAAATCAAATGAAAGTTTAGGTACTAAAATGAAACTGAATCGATTATTTAAGTATTAAATGTATAATCTATTCAAAATAAATAATTCATAAGAAGATGTATGAGAAAACAATAATACTAATAGATATTAAATATGTGATAATAAAATGCATCAAAAATTTATCTTAGAGATAAAAGTAGACATCTATATAAATAGATATTCATAATACTCCTTAAATTGCTATAAAGGTAATATGTTTCGCTAAAACCTTACTAAAATAAGAATTTTGCGGGAAAAAATCTTAGTGGAAGAAATAATACACACATATTTAATACGCATAACATATTGCCCCATTAAAAATCTTATCAAAAAATTCTAATAGGATAAAACCTTGATTAAAAGGAAAATAGTACAAATGTACAATACATATTTAATCCGTAACACCCTAAACCCGATTGGGCCTAAAGTGACACATTGAACTACCGAGGTAACCCTTGATTTTCAAAGCCTGTTCGTTTTCTTTTCAAATAATCTGAATGGTATCATAATAAACATAAATAACAGTTACAAAAATACTTTATAAAAATCAGAGCTCTGTGACACATAATTTAAAACCAAAATAATACAAACTCTGAGCTATAAATATGAAAACATGAGTAAGGTTCTACGAATACATATGGCCAATAAAGTTACAGTATAGTACTCTCAATGAGATGTTGGAAGTCCTACTGCGACGGTGCTCTACGAACAACTCTAGCTATTGACATGCGAATGGAAAACATATGAACGTTGAGGTTACAAAGCCAGTAGTATAATCACTAATCTAGAGCAGTATTATAAGTCTCACAAACATAAGCATGCTAAAGATATGGTACTAAGCAGCAAGTACATGCATGATCTTGATCAAGTGTTATCTACTTAGGACTTGACTATTCTATTACTAAAGTATGAGTCTCATGCTTCCCTTACTCCTATTCTAAGGGCCTCGCCATGAATAAACCTCTAAAGGGTCTCTAACTCTAATGATCGTAGCTGCTCCACATTTTATGAATATGACACTGACACTCATGTGCATTATCTGAATGCAATATTGCTAGTATCTGGTCTTACATAACTATCAAACACTAGTTAATTGAGGGAACCCAATGTCACATAGCATCAGTGAAATTCCCACTAAGTTGTTGATTGATCTCTTGGTCCTCACATTATAACACCCTAATCTATTCCGACCCAAAGATCACTAGATCCTGATGTCACACGGGACCACTAAAATGGTAACCCAAAAATTTTCTTTTAAAAACGTCTGTAAACTGTGATACACAAAAACCATCCATAATAATAAATTAAAAACATAAATAAAATGGGTTTATAAGTATGGGGAGCTCCTAAGATATTCAAAATAATACATCGATGAGTTTAAATCAAAAGAGTTATAATTTAATACATAAGGGTCTATAAATAGTACGTGCCCTCTGAGAAAGACTCAAGACATAATATGAATGTCTCAACTGATATGAACCTGTTGCACTGGAATATTTGTTGACGATAACTCCCAACAAAAGGTCCCCTAATATCTTGCGCACGAAAACACATTCCGAGCACTGAGCTTACGAGCTCGGTACCACACTAATAATTACACTATACTACATGAATTCACTAAATGAGTTGGCTAGCAACACATGTATGAATACATGTAAAACATTGATATGTACTGCTGAAATAGGCATCATGGTGCGGTTGAGGGTTCTACATCTCGGAGCTCACACACTGCTGGGATTTTCGGAAGCTCGAATCGATAATCGAAACGGTTTACAAAGATGGGTCGAAATGGTTTTTGTGTTTAGGAGTAAGGAGATTGAAAGATAGAGAATTGCACAACGATTTATAGTGGTTCGACTTCTCAACCAAGTCTACATCCACTACCTTAGCTCATCACCAAGGATTTTCCAACAAATTCACTAATTTGTTCTTTCTTTTTAAGGACAAAGAGATAACCTTTACAATTCCCTAGTTTTTCATGGGATAAACTATAACCTTTCCCTAGCTTTTACACGGGCTTAGCTAGAACCTTTCCCCTTTACAAAAGGATAAAAGAAGTAAACAAATAAACCTCTCAAATGTAGGTGTTTACAAGAATTAAGCTCACAAGAACAAATATTTACAAGAGAAAGAAAAATAAGAATAAAAAGCTCTTCTCTTGTGTTTGATTGCTTGGATAGTTGTTCTCTCTTATTTCTTCAAGTGTCCTCAGCTTGTATTTATAGCTTGAAATGAGTTTGAAGTCGTATATAGCCGTTGGGGATGTTTTGGAGCCATTGGGGATTTATTTTCCACAAAATAAAAATGCCCAGAACAAGGTGTATCGGTACACTCCCAAGGTATATCGGTACCCCTTCATAAAATTTAAATTTTATGACCGTTGGGCTAAAATTACTGTAGCAGTGTATCGGTAAATTGTAGAGGTATCCTTACACATTTTACATTCGATGTTTTTTAGCATCGGTACTATTCATTATTGTTCACACAGTATCGGCACTATTCATACAGTACAATACTATTCATAAAAACATTTTTGTGCTCAATTTCAAATTAAATGGACTTTGAATTATTTTTGTAAACTTTGAATAAATTCAATTCAAGTCCAAAAACATTTTACCATAAACTGTTATATCAAAACATAGTTCAACAATCTCTCCCTTTTTGATATAACAATTCAAGTCCAAAAACATTTTGCCATAAATTGTTATATCAAAACATAGTTCAACAATCTCTCATTTTTGATATAACAAAACATTTGAAAATTTGTTTTTGGCAAAACTCTCCCTTAATAAAATGTTTAATGAAAACGATATCAATTGTTAAAAAGATACCAATTGTTGGAAAATATATGAAAATGTTAAGCTCCCCCTTTTTCATTAAGAAATTTATTTTTTCAAACCAAACTTCTCCCCCCTTTTTGTTATATAAAAAATAATTCAATCTTTGAAGTTCAAAATAACTTTGGAGAGTAAGTATTAAATTTTACATTTAAAAATCATTTGAAAAATCAAAGTTCCCTCTCAATAAATATATTCCAAACAAAATTAAGCTTTTAGAGTTTGATACTTAAACAAAATTGAATTTCAACAAAGATTAACAAACATGTTAGTAGAACATGAAATTCAATGTATCCAAGTCTAAAATACTTTATGCAATATCAATTATTGAAATTAAGTGCATATGCATAAAGCTTTTAGAGTTTGACACTTAAACAAAATTGAATTTCAACAAAAATTAACAAACATGTTAGTAGTACATGAAATTCAATGTATCCAAGTCTAAAATAATTTATGCAATATCAATTGTTGAAATTAAGTGCATATGCATCATAAAGCTTTTCAAAAATGTTATGCATTTGTAAAATTTGATACCAATTGTTAGAGATATATCTTTTTCATTTAAACCATATGCATAAACATTCAAATTTAGGTCAAAAATTTAAAATTTATAAAATCAAAGTATTTGAAAAGTTGATATCAATTGTTAGAGAGATATCATTTGCATTTAAAACCAATTTTGACCAAAATTTATTATGATGAACAAAAATTATGAAAAATTATTAAAATTTTAAAATGTTCATCATACCAATTGTTTTCAACATACATGAGATAAAAAAACAATACTGAATTATTTAAAATCAAAACTCATGCATGCTTAAACTAAAATGAGCAACCAAATAACCAAAATTGAAAGCATTAAGCTTAGGGGTTACCCATTCATTTTTCATGTGTGGCTAGAACATCTTGAATATCATCACTTTCATCACCATTGCTCCCACACACCTACATGAGACATTTAAGTAGATTTTGGTATCCAAATTGCTTTGGATCCTTGAACATTAGTTTCAATGCCCCTTGTTCCCTTAGGAATCCATACTTGTCTAATTTTAAAACGTTTTCCTTTCTTCAAAGGACAAGTATGTTCCTTGTGACCATGAAAATGATAATGTGAGCATTTTGTCATTTCTAAATATAATAAGTTGTTTTTAGAAATTAATTCTTTTTCTTTTGTTGAGCTTTCAAGCTTAACTTCTAACTCAAAATTTTTCTTTTCTAAATCATTTATTTTGATTTTTGAAAGCTCTAAATCATTTTTAAAAATTTCATTTTGATTTTCAAAATCAACTCTTGTTTTCAAAATCGATTTATTTTCAATTTTGAGTTTTGAAATTAATTTCATATATTTGGAATTCATGATCTCAAATCCTAAATACAACCTATTATAAGCATCTTGTAACTCATCAAAAGTAAATGAATTAAATTCATTTGAGTTAGAAGATACGTCAAATTCTTCATGAGTGGCCTTGAGGCATAGGTT